CCCAAGCTTGATGCTTCCATGGGTCTTAAGGTTTCCAAGGCTAGACACCCCTGTGGTAGACCATCAACCCCAAGCTTGATGCCTCCATGGGTCTTAAGGTTGCCAAGGTTAGACACCCCTGTGGTAGACCACCAACCCCAAGCTTGATGCCTCCATGGGTCTTAAGGTTGCCAAGGTTAGACACCACTGTGGTAGACCATCAACCCCAAGTTTGATGCCTACAGGGCCAATTCCGACCCATCTGGAGGTCTGTAAGCCAGGTGTAATCCTTACCTGCTATATCTTCATCCATTTAGCTTTTCCCATCTTCCACTGGGAGGGGACCCCATACTGTGACCCCCCCCCCAAAGGCCCCTTTTCACTCCCGGACTCTGTTTGAATCCAAGAGGGACATCCTAGTCTTGTAAAAGCTTCTGTTCTCAAGACACTTACATGGAATGGACCATTTCTGAAGGATAGCTTGTTACAGAATGGAGAGGTAACCCACCTGGGGAGCTGGCAATCCCTACTGGTTTCCTTTGGTTACTGGATTACAGGTAATTCATGGCTTACAACCACACTTGTGACATGATTCCCCCTTTAGCGACCTTATGACCAGGAAAATCAATGGGGAAGCCAGATTCACTCAACAACTACAGGGTTCCAACATGTACCCCCATTCAAATCACAAGTCTCTAGCCGCATCTCTCAAAGTAAAAAAGATTATTTATGAGGAGTTGACATGTCGGTGTTTCCTGATTGCAGCTGACTTTTGACACCTCATTCATTTCACCCTTGGCCCTGGTCTTCCCCCCACCCCCTCAATGTATATTCTCCAATGGGACACACCTATAGCCAAGAGTAATGTATCATGCTCTCCAGTAATAATTTTGCGCGCCAACAGCTTCGGCTGCCTAGCATTTATCTGAAGCATTTAAGGAATGCACTGCTTTCGCCCACTTCTTTCCTGCTGGCAGCTAAAAAGACCAAGGAGTATTTTTTTTAGTTGACAACATGACTCATTTAACAACTGCAGTGATTCACTTAACAAATGTAACAAGAAAGGTCATAAAATGGGGCAAAACTCACTTAACAAATGTCTCACTTGGCAACATACATTTTGGGCTCAATTGTGGTGGTAAGTCAAGGACTTGCTGCAAATGAACTGTCACGGGGATTCTCAGCCATCCAGGTCGTGGCTGTCCCAAAGGCACTTTTTCGAAAGGCGACTGGACTCTCTTTGTTTTTTTTTTCCTTGAAGACGTTTCGCTTCTCATCCAAGAAGCTTCCTCAAGTTCTGACTTGTAAATAGGAAGGTTGTAACTTGAGGACTCCCTGCATCGATTCCACTCCACCTTTCAAGCCAAAGCTTTGGCTGTGTATATCTTATTAATAATAGCACGGAGACGTCACAAAGTAGAACAAAAAGCAAAGCGCTTAGATTTAGCCTCTTTGGGTGTCTGGATCTCTCTTTGAATAATGATGCATACAAAAATAGACATTTCTAATCAGGATGGAATTCATTGTTCCTGTCATTTCCCTTCTGTCATTTCCCTGCTGGGCCTGTAAACTAAACAGAGTCAGATATAGCTTTAACATCCTTTGGTTTTGGAGGAACAGCTGAATGGGGCCGTTTTTGCCACGGGGAGGGGAGATTACAGATAACACTCCCCCTCCGATTCCCTGCAGCTCTTTTCAAGTGGCTATAATTCCTAATTTGCTTGCCAGTTTCCTACACACACACACACACACACACACACACACACACACACACTCCCCTCCCCTTCAGTTTGCCTCCTTTTTCTTATCTGGTGGACTCCTGTCGCCACTGAAAGCGCCAGGTAGGATTCTCATTATACCGGCAGCTGCATAGCAAAAATTGATTTTATGCATCTCAAACTGTATCGTTCAGATTCAGAGTTCTCAAATGTGTTTTTAACAACAGATAAAATAGAGAATGTCGCACTTAAAAAGATAATAAATAAAGGGGGGGCGTCCCAGACCGTCCAAATGCCACTCTGGGGGGGGGGGGAGGAATATATCCGAAATGGGCCCCCGTGGGTTGGATTTGAATGCGGTTCCAAGGGAGCGGAGAAACCATTCTAGGATCTAACTGTTGGACTCAAACCCCTGAGGGAATCAAATCAAAACAGTTTAGATGCGATATGTTTGACAGAATCCCTTTTAAAAGAGAAATGAGACTCAAGGAGGACATTCATATCAGAGGTGATATTCAGCCGGTTCGGACCGGTTCTAGAGAACCGGTAGCAGAAATTTTGAGTAGTTCGGAGAACCGGCAAATACCCCCTCTGACTGGCCCCTCCACCATCTCTTCTCCTCCTCCTAAGTCCCAGCTGATCGGCTGGGTGTCCTTTGGTTGCCCTGTGCAGGAGAACGGAGCTGGAAAGCAGGTTATGGGGGCTGGGGAAGGAATGGGGATTTTGTAGTAACTTTCCCCTGCCATGCCCACCAAGCCACGTCCACAGAACCAGTAGTAATTTTTTTGAATCCCACCACTGGTTCACATGAGTTCCTCCCGAAGCAACCAAGATGGAAACCAAGTTCCAGAGAACATCCCGCCTTCAATATTTCTCTGGTCAGTCCAGTTGGAGGGACGGAGTGGTGGCCTAGAGGTGGACCTCTCGCCTCACAATCAGGAGGCTGTGAGTTTGATCCTGGGTAGAGGCAGATATTTCTCTCTCTGGGCACCCTTAGAATATATACAGTGAGCAAAACTCCGCGTTGGCAACGGGAAGGGCATCCGGCCATTAAAACGCTCTGCTAGCTCCATTCAGTTGCCCAGACTCCACCCCCGCAAGGGACTATGGGGTTGTTAAAAGAGGATGATGAGTCCCGTTGCAGGGATCAACTCAAGGGGAGATTGTGTTCCTTCTAAGGATGTTGAGATCCATGTCCCGAAAACACACACGAGATTCAACTCAGTATGCTAAACATCCTAATCCACACCTGCGAGAGACCTGAAGAAGATCAAGACAAGGTAGAAGAGACAAACCCCCTGTCTTTCCTCCTACCCTGAAGGTAAGGCATGGCGCCTCTTTGCTTCACGTGTCTCCCAATTCCTGCGCCGTGCTCTCTCGTGTCCCGCACCTTGGCGTTTCATGGAGTTACCATCTTTTGCCTTCTTCTCCGCAACCTCTAGTAGAGCTGCCTCTTGGTCCTCCAACCTACAGATCCACCGTTCCCAAAAATGACGGTCGCGTGGAGCACACCACGACCAAGACATTTAACAGGTCCTTTTCTCTCTCTCCACTCACAGGGGACGGATTCCGACTACGAAGATGAGCTGCCAAAGCATTCGTTCGTCAACCATTACATGAGCGACCCGAGCTACTACAACTCGTGGAAACGCCAGCAGAAGGGCACAAAGCATTCGACACCCTACAGATACGAGGAGCGGGTGGCCAGCGAGACCGAACCTTACTTCCAGACTGTCATCACGACGCAGAGTTCAGGAGGGGTCTACACCCCGACAGGGCAGCCCACTCCGGGCTCAAGGACTCCAGTGACAGGTTTCTCTTCGTTCGTCTAGCACCCAAGGAAAGGAGCGTCAACCCCAAATTCAGTGGCCCGTCAAGGTTCGCGTGGACACCAGCCCCGACGTGACTCTGGGCAGCACACAAGGCAGTGAACTGGGGGTATTTTTCTCTTTATCAGGGTAGAATGGATGTACATGTGAATGTCTTTCGGGTTTTGGGTTTTTTTTTTCAAGACAATCAACACTTTAAGACATGGAGCTGATGAGTTTGCTTTGATTTCTTCCCCCTCCTCTTTGAAAATCCCATAAATGATCAAAACCGGACCATTTTAACCACTTTGGAATATGATTTAAAAGAATTTTTTAAAAATAAAACTATGCTTTTTTAATGTCGTCTGGGTTTTCTTTCTTTCTTCCTCTCTTTCTTTCTTTCTTTCTTTCTTTCTTTCTTTCTTTCTTTCTTTCTTTCTTTCTTTCTTTCTTCTTCTTCTTCTTCTTCTTCTTCTTCTTCTTCTTCTTCTTCTTCTTCTTCTTCTTCTTCTTCTTCTTCTTCTTCTTCCCTTTCTCTCTCTTCATCTCTCGTTCTTTCTTTCTTTTTTCTTTCTCTTCTCTTTTCTCTCTCTCTCCCTCTCTTTCTCTCTCTTTCTTCCTTCTCTTTTTTCTTTCTTCTTTTTCTCTTTTTTCTCTCTCTCCCTCTCTTTCTCTCTCTTTCCTCTCCTTTTTCTTTCTTTCTGTCTTTTTTCTTTCTTATTCTCTCTCTTCTTTCTTTTTTCTTTCTTTCTCTTTCTCTTTCTTTTTTCTTTTTTCTTTCTTCTTTTTCTTTCTCTTTTTTTCCCTCTCTCCCTCTCTTTCTCTGTCTTTCTTCCTTCTCTTTTTTCTTTCTGTCTTTTTTCTTTCTTATTCTCTTCTTTCTTTTTTCTTTTCTTTCTTTCTTTCTTTCTTTCTTTCTTTCTTTCTTTCCTTTCTTTCTTTCTTTCTTTTCTTTTCTTTCTTTCTTTCTTTCTTTCTTTTCTTTCTTTCTTTCTTTCTTTCTTTCTTTCTTTCTTTCTTTCTTTCTTTCCTTCTTTCTTAATTTCGTTCTTTCATCCAAGAAACCAATTCCATCCTTTTGAATTAAGCAGCACTTCGTTCACATAAATTAAGGTGGAATACCAACGGCATTTCTGTGGATAGGACAGGTTTTAAAGGACCGTGATTCCCAACTTCTAGAAGGAGCGAAGTGGTTCCACCTTATTTGGAACTGTCCCCTCAGGGAGTAACTCTGCACACCTGGCATTCTAAAAGCTTTTCCCAGCTCAGGGTCTGAAGAGGAGAACCAACCTCTGCTCTGAAAGGGACCCGCGTTGCTGTGATGTGGGAAAAGGTAAGCGGTTGTGGTAATAATGGCTTTTCTACCAGAATGTTTTTCTCCAGTTTCAACAATGGGAGGGAAGCACGCATGGGTGAGCCTCCCGGTTCTTCCTTCTTCAAATACTCAGGTCCTGGGAAGCAATTACTCTCGAGTAAGGCTGGAAAGGTCCCTCCAGATACTCCTCAAAGGAGGTTTCCTCTGCTCTCATGTAAGGACCTTCTTGCTCCGTCTTCCTTTCTGGTGAAGACGGTTCCACGGGTCATAACTCAGAAATCAACTGAAGCTGGAATGTGACACCTGAACGTAAGCAATTATTAACGGTAGTATTTAGTTTACTTATTTGTATCCCGCCTTTATTATTTTTATAAACTAACTCAATGCGGTGATCATAGCCAGCATACCTTCCTCCTCCTTTTTTTTCCAACTACAACAACCCTGTGAGATGGGTTGGTCTGAGAAAGAATGACTGGCCCAAAGTCACCCAACCGGCTTTCATGACTTAGACAGGACTAGAACTCGCTGTCTCCTGGTGATTGGCCCAAAGTCACCCAACCGGCTTTCATGACTAAGGCGGAACTAGAACTCCCTGTCTACTGGTGATTGGCTCAAAGTCACCCAACCGGCTTTCATGACTAAGGCGGAACTAGAACTCACTGTCTACTGGTGATTGGCCCAAAGTCACCCAACCAGCTTTCATGGCTAAGGCAGGACCAGAACTCACTGTCTCCTAGTGATTGGCCACAAGTCATCCAGCTGGTCTTCATGGCTAAGGCCTCCCATCCCATGATAGCTAGAGTTCCAGATTTCAAGACTGGCATTTTGGATCTCAGACATAAAGGGAGGGAGATCAACCAGTCAAGCACAAACTCCATTTCTGGTGATTAAATAAAAGCTGACCCAAAGGATCTAAGAAATGACTCTGGAGAGAAGATGCCATTTCTCTCAACTCTTCAGTTGTAGCTTCTCCAGGCCCTAGAGATGTAGGCATAATGATTCCCCCGCTTGTGAACGTTATGGACAAATAGGGGCAGGTTGGATCTACTTGATAGGTCTTAATTAAGTGGTTGTGTATTTTTAGAAAAAATTGCAACACTTCGTCACCAAATTCGGCTGGTCTTCAGAGCTGAACAGGTAAATGTAATTATTTCATTGTATTGATCGGTTGGACAGGACCTACTGAAGCAAAATAGTAGGATGAAGAGGAAGCACTTTTATTTTTTTCAAAAGACTTCTGATCACAGTTTGGACCAAGAATGGTGGCAGTTCTACAACTAAGCGCAGAATTCTTTCACATATAATTTCACTCCTGGTCCTCTTTTTTTTTTTTTTCCCCTAACCAGTCTTAGTTAAAAAGGGAAAGAAAAAAATGTGCTGTCACTATCATTAAATAACCGGGAAGGTAAGCATATCCTCTGTACTCAGATCACAGTCTTCCTTCTTCTCCAAGCTCTATATTATTCTCCCGAAATATCTTGGAAGATTTACTAGGTTTACTGCTTTACAAATACTGCAGGTCACTGTGCCTTAACTTTGCTCCCTTCTACTAAAATTAGAAATGTGGGATAACTTCTGTGCAAAAGAGAAAAAAAAGGAATGATTCAGGATCTACCCCATCTATTACTCTGGTTCTGTACAAGATCGTGGTGGTAGAAGCTCTCAGTGTTCTTTCATCTGATCTTAATTTTAGAAAAAGGTAAACAGCTGGATATAGAATAGAGAATGACAGAGTTGGAAGGGACCTTGGAGGTCTTCTAGTCCAACCCCCTGCTTAGGCAGGAAATCCTATACCATTTCAGACAAATGGTTATCCAATCTCTTCTTAAAAACTTCCAGTGTTGGAGCATAATACAACTTCAAGTTGTTCCACTGATTAATTATTCTCCTTGTCAGGAAATTCTTCCTTAGTTCTAGGTTGCTTCTCTCCTTGATTAGTTTCCAGCTGTTATGCTAATAAGTTGGTCCCTCTAGAAGAGACCTTGAATATTTAACAAGCAAAAAAAAAATTTTTTTTGCTTGTATAAGCAAGCAAAAAAAAAAAAAATCAGTACCACTCAGGCATTATGCCCGTAAACCCAAATGGAGGAGTACTCTATGTTTTTGATGTTTGGTTCTCTCTGAGCTTGCTGGTTTTCTTGAAGACGTTCCATGACCCAAACTAGGTAACATCAGCAGTGCTAAAAGGAGGTGTGGTTTTTATCATCATAGTACCGATGATGTTACGTAGTTGGGTCATGAAACATCGGCAAGAAAACCACTAAATTCAGAGAGCACCAAGACCTCCTCCACTGTCTTCCTCCTCCTCCTCCTCCCCCTCCTCCTCCTCCTCCTCCTCTTTTTTTCCAGCAGTCGTAAAACGACCCAATTGTTCACTATGGGACAGTTTCGGCTAAAAAAACAGCATTTAAATGCCAAAAAATATTATAAAATCCAAACAGCCATGAACAAGGGCCACTTCCTAAGCACCCAACACCCAGCATGCAGTTACATGACCAGGAGGGGAACCTGGTTATCAGAACTTCAGAATTGGATCGTGAGTCCTCGATAAGCGCATTCGGGACATCGTCGACATCAGCGTCAACCAGGCCGGATTCATCAAGAACTGCGGCACCACCGATGCCATCTTCGGTGTGCGGATGCTGATGGAGGCTCACAGAGAGAAGAAAATCCCGCTCCACACCGCCTTCTTGGACTTGGAAAAGGCCTTCGACCGAGTCCCGCATGATCTCATCTGGTACGCACTGCGAGATCACGGCGTGCCCGAGCTACTCGTACAATGGGTCCAACTCCTATACAGATGTCACAAAAGCCGTGTAAAAGCGGCAGCTGGGATATCAGAGGAGTTCAATATCACCGTCGGCGTACACCAGGGCTCTGCTCTCTCACCACTGCTGTTCATTCTGGTGATGGACACAATTACACACGACCTGCACACGCCCGCCCCATGGACGCTGCTCTACGCCGATGATGTGTTCCTGGCCAACCTGCGCAAGGCTGAACTTGAGCACCTAGTCCAACAGTGGCACGACCGCCTCGAGCAGTTCGGGCTCCGGTTGAACCTAAAGAAGTCCGAATACCTGACCACTGACAACGAAACGACAGGTTCCATCCACGTGAACGGGCAGGAGCTACCGCGCGCCTCCACCTTCAAGTACCTGGGAACTACTCTTGGGGAAGAAGGCCTACTACAAACTGAGGTGGCAGCCAGGATCAACGCAGCGTGGGGCAAATGGAAGTCCGTCACGGGCATCCTCTGTGACAAGAAGATGCCGATGCGCCTGAAGGCGAAAATCTATAACTCTGTGGTGCGCCCCGTGGCCATATACGGCGCAGAGTGCTGGCCGACGACCAAAGAAGTCGAAAGCAGACTCCAGACAATGGAGATGCGAATGCTCCGATGGTCGGTAGGCCTCACCCTACTTGATCGCGTCAGGAATGAAGAAGTGCGCAGACGGTTCAACGTCGTGCCCATCCCCACGGTCATGAGGCAGTCCCGGCTACGATGGTTCGGCCATGTGAGTCGCGCCAAGGAAGAATCCATCATCAAATCTGTGATGAAGGTGATTGTCGGAGGAGCGAGACCGCGTGGTAGACCTAAGCAACGCTGGATGGACACGATCAAGGCCGATCTAGAGATCGCGAAGGCAGACCCGACATACGTGGCAGACAGAGAGGCGTGGAAGCAGTACTCAAGGACATTAGCGGACCTCGCCAGAGCGCGAGACAAACGCTGAAGAAAAAGAAGAAGAAGAAGAAGAAGAAGAAGTAGCTTTTGGGGGGTCCGTCATAACTTCAAGCAGTCACTTAGCAGCCCGTTATAAGTCAAGGACCACCTGCCTCTTATTTGCCTTTTCAATAAGGTATCGGTTCCATCAATCGGCATGCAGAACCATGCAGATATCAGAAAACTATGCACAATGTGATGTGGTTCATATTTGATTAGCATCTACCAAGGAATTCCAGGGCTGTTGGCTGGCTTGGGAGGCTGGGGGAAAAAATATCTCAGAAGAAGACCAAGCCAACCAATTCTTTTTCTTTCTTTTTTCTGCAGCTGATTTTAAAGCTATCTGGATGTTTTGCCAGAAGTGAAGGTTTTTTTCCCATCAACTTGAATTAAGGACCCAGCCATGCAGCTCTACAAGTTAGTGCAGCTCTCACTTTTCTTTAAGCAAACAGTTTGGAAACAATAGCACAAAATAGTGCAACAAAACCCTAAAATAATAAGAATAAGAATAATAATAAAAAGAAATGAACTTTTAACAGAAACCATTTCCCCAAAGAGAGAATTGATAATGGAAAGAGGTGATGCTTTTCCGAGTGTTTTCCCAAAATAAAAGGAATTGCTTTAGAAAGCATCTCCGTCTCTTCTTTGCCTTTCAAATGAAAGATATCAAAGGTGTTTTTTTTAAAAGCTTGTTGACACTAACAAAGTAATTTCTGCTCTTTCACTCCACATCCATCTCTGTGATTCTGTTTTTATTGGCTGCCTTTATTCAGTTACAACCGAATTGGAGGAGGGAGGCCGATTGAAACTCTGCAGAATTGGATCTCCTTAAGAGACCAAAATCGAATTTGATTCCTTCGCTCTCATCATCATGCATTAGAGACGAGCCTCGGTATGCAACAGTGCTAACCATAGGATTAATCACAAAGGTCGTTTTTATTATTTACCCAGGACGTAGTGTCAGTTGCTCGTATTGATGAGAAAGTTTTTCTTTGGGGCTAAAAATTTGGACAATTTGTCTTAGGTGGCTGAAATTCTGGTCTGCCTGAAATATTGGATGATCTAAGACAGTCTGCTCAGAAAGCAATTAACTGAAATTGATTCCAATCCACCTTATGCCAATCACAGGACAGGATCCTAAGCTTCATCTTCATGTTTTGCACTATGTCAACATTTGGGCTACCTCAAGCAACCACACAATTACAATAGGATGATGTCTCACAACTGTGGCATCCTTAAGCTGGGTGGACTTCGACTCCCAGAATTCCCCAGCCGGCTTCAATCCCAGGAGTTGAAGTCCACCCAACTTTAACTTGGTCGGTTTGAAAAACTCTACAATAGATCCGTGGAGATAGAGCCTGGAATAAGATCAGAGATTATTAATATTAAGAAGGCTTCTCACCAGTTTATGCCTATAAAATGCTACAGCTCCATTCCAGAGAGATCTCCATCAAGATCAAGGGAGGTACTAAGACCACTCTATAAAGCCTTAGTAAGGCCACACCTAGAGTACTGCGTCCACTTTTGGTCACCACATTATAAAAAAGATGTTGAGACTCTGAAAAGAGGGCAGAGAAGAGCAACCAGGATGATTAGGGGGCTGGAGGCTAAAATATACAATGAATGGTTGCAGGAACTGGGCCTCAAGAAAGACACTAACGCAAGTTCTATCTTGGGTGAGCTGCCCCGATCAGGGTTTGGGGAACTCCTTTTATTGGGAACACACAAAGGGGGTGAGTTTATCCAATCATTATGTTACATGCGTAGGAATGTTAGTGGATGCATCGCATCTTCCAATAACCATGCCATGGTAAATTTAAACTAGCAAACCAAACTGCATTCCAGTTAACTGCCCTTGTGACGTATTTTATGGTCTTGTTCCTGGTGTCTGTTTTCAGCCTACGTGAGACCTAGCATGCACCGGAACCATTGAAGTTGCTCACGTGAGGCTTGGCACACAGTGGATTTGGCCCATTACAGCACTTAAGCTGGGTGGACTTCGACTCCCAGAATTCCCCAGCCGGCTTCAATCCCAGGAGTTGAAGTCCACCCAACTTTAACTTGGTCGGTTTGAAAAACTCTACAATAGATCCGTGGAGATAGAGCCTGGAATAAGATCAGAGATTATTAATATTAAGAAGGCTTCTCACCAGTTTATGCCTATAAAATGCTACAGCTCCATTCCAGAGAGATCTCCATCAAGATCAAGGGAGGTACTAAGACCACTCTATAAAGCCTTAGTAAGGCCACACCTAGAGTACTGCGTCCACTTTTGGTCACCACATTATAAAAAAGATGTTGAGACTCTGGAAAGAGGGCAGAGAAGAGCAACCAGGATGATTAGGGGGCTGGAGGCT